CAGTATACGTGAAGCCCATTTCTGGTGTCCCCGTGTGTCCCCCTGTGAGTGTCGTTTTACGCCGCTTTTAGCACTATTCCAGCAATATCAAGGCGGGGGGACACCGGGGATAGGCTTCACACATTGCACCCATGTGGGGAATCGAACCCGGCGTGACGAGGTTTAACCACTAGACTACACCACCGCCCCTGGTTCTAAATATATGTATTTTACTATGTTTTCAGCGGTCCCTGTTTCCCAATTCAAATACCAACAGGTGATCGCAAATTTGTAAAATGCATGGGCTTCAGCCGATCTCTACCAGCTCATCCTACGGCAGGTAAGAACAATCACTGATGAATATGAATAAGAAACGCCAGAGAACAACCAGTCTTGATTATCCCATAAAACAATGAGTATGTATGGTTTTACGCATCCTCGATAATCCCCAGGGTATACGTTCCGATAAATCTCCACTATACTGTGGGTGCATTTACGGCTCGAGCCGATGATTTTATTACCTCCCTTGGTTGGCTTTTTATCCAATCAGGTGTCTACGCTGGGAAGTTGAGCGATGGGTTTTACGCCGCTTTTAGCAATATTCCAGCAATATCACGGCGGGGGACACCAGAAATGGGCTTCACACATTTTACCCATGTGGGGAATAGAACCCGGGTCTTCGTCGTGACGAGCAAACGCTTTAACCCCTAGGCTACCCCACCTCCCCAACCCCCATAAAACAGATTCCAGTTTAGCGGTGAAAATTTTAAATGGATCACTCACAATCAGCTATGACACAAGGTGTTCGCAAATAGTGTAGCTTTGTCCTATCTTGTCGGTAACACCCGCCACTAGGCATCCGCATTAAGTGTTTGTCTCCTGACGTCGCACAGCACTACTGCCTTGCAACGGTCAGGTATAAACATCTTGACAATCAGTTGTGTTTGTTGTTTAACGCTGCACTCAGCAATATGCCATTTAAATAATCGAGTCTAAAACAAACAATCCAGTGATCAACAGAAAGAGCATCGATCTACGCAACTGGGATTTGATACGAGCGAGCCTGACCACCCGATCCCGTTAGTCGCCTCTTACGACAAGCATGGGGTGAAGACCAATTGTAACCCGGATCTTCACGGGTATTGACAATCCAGTGACCGATAGCGCTTTCATTGATTTGATTCACGTCTTCTGTGTATTAAGCGATCAACTATTTAGGAGTAAAAAATGTTTGCCAAATATGTTCATTTAGGAGCAAATCTTCAGAGCAAACTCAAAGACATTCACTGAATACATGCTCATTTTGTTGTGACTCAGTATCGACACGTTTGTGACATTCGGATTAGATCTGTGTCTCACGTCGAACTTTTTTTTGCTGCTGTCATTACAATTGTGTAGATGAAATATTTCCTGATGAGAATAATACAAAACCAATGAGCAAAGTGTTTTTGTCGCTTATACATTCGTTTACCACACGACTGAAGAAACCAGAAAATGTCTGGACACATTTCGCTGAGGCGAACAAATATCGCCACACACCATCCCTATATGCCCATTCCCAGTCCATAACTCAGCCTTATATTATACATGATGATACTCTTAGTGACACCCATTAATATCCAGCTCTCGGGAATGGTTTGTGTTAACTAGAGTTTAGTGTTAAGAATATTTAGTATTGAATTGTATGTAGGTCACTACAGATTGTTTACAGCTGCTCTGATCAATTATAATGGCAATTGTAAGTCGTTACCTGTCATGAATTGAGTGAAATCAATATGTACACATTCGTCCGACGCATTTAATCCAACACGCGTCAGTCATCAAACCGAATAGTCCCGGGTTAGAATTGATCTTCAGTACCCCATGCCTGTCGTCAGAGGCGACTAACGAAATCAGATGGTGTCATCGTATCCAAATGGCCTAGTTCGATGCTGATGATGTCAATCACTGGGTTGTTGAGCCCAGAATTCCTCTTCAGCAACCCATGCTTGTCGTAAGAGGCGACTAACGGGTTGACATCGTATCCCAGTTGCGTAGATTAATGCTCTTGATGTTGATCACTGGATTGTCTGGATCAAACTCGATTATACATACAGTCGAGCACCGTTGTGTCGAACATTGATAACTCGATATCTCGGTTGTCTCCATATAACATCTCGGTCCCGGCAAAATCTTTCATAATTTATCATTATTGAAGCTCTTTTAACTCGATACGGATGTCTCGATATTTCGGATATCTCGATATAATCTCTGGTCCCAACAAGCAAAATGACCCTTTTTACTTGATATTTGCAAAGAAACTCGATATTCACCTACCTTTCATGGGCAAGTATCCCTCTGAACGGTGTCGTACCGGGAAGACGAAAATTTATTTTTCATATGTCCCGGGAAGGCTGAAATGTATATTTCGGACTTCCCGGGAGAGCTAATTTCCAAGGGAGTAGGGGAGTACCGCCAAAGCTAAAGATACGGTGCCGGGAAGCATAATCCATGTCGGGAATAGATAGATTTCTTTTTAAAACAGTGCAATAGTAGAGTGTTTAGCTTCTTCGCTTGTTTACAAATTTATTTAAGTGGCGTTTGTATTTCAGATGAATTTGCAAATATGTATTTCGAAAAAAATCGAGAAGCATCACGCTTTTAGCCTTCCCGGCCATGAACCCTCTGAACTGAGGTTGTTTCCACACGTTTACACACGGTGCGGCATGAATCAAAGGGATGCGGTAGTGTAAGCTAATTAGGGCTAACTGAGTTAGCCGTGTGGCGTTAAACAACAAACCGTTAACCAAAGTGAGGAGTTGAAGGAGATTACCATGATGTCACTGTGAACATTATTTCATTTACACCGCCTGTCGGTTTTATATGGTAGGAACTGTCTTAGTGATGCAGTTCGCTGACGGTCATTACTGAAACCCAGGAAGCACGGTTATGGGTCTAGAAACACAAGCAGCGCCACCAGGATTCGAACTCACGATATGTTCACGCCCCGTCCAAGGGACACAACTCTTCACAGCGAATTGCAGCGGCACCGGGCCGTCCTAGCCTCCGAACATGACATACGTTTAACAACGGATATATCAACTAATATTAACTCTATATCGGCAACACACTGGGTCGAATACTTCGAAAAAGTAATGAATATAAGTCATGAGAATACGGATCAAGACCATGTGAGAGAAGCCAGTAAATTTCTTGAACATCACGATGAACATAATTGCTGTGCGTGCAATAATGATACCATTAATAATACTCTGAACTGTTGATGCCGTTGACAAACTGAAGGACGGTAAAGCTCCTGGTCATGTGACTCCAGAAATGATAAAATGTTGTAAAACTGAACTATTACCATTTTTTATGCATTGTTTAATACTATTCTGAACAGTGGCAATTTCCCTATAGAACGGAGATTAATAATTATAGAGGCATGACGCTTAGTGATGTCATGGGGAAATTATTTACGTTTATATTAAACAAGAGGTCGACAAGTTTGTGTTATCAGTATGACAAGATTCTTGAGTCTAAGGCTGGGTTCCGTGCTGGATATAGCACTGTTGATAATATTTTCAGTTTACAGTGTCTGGTCCAAAAGTATCTCTCGAAAAACTAATGGTCGTTTTGATTGTTTATTTGTTGATTTCAGAAAAGCATTTGATTCCATTAATCGTAAATTATTGTGGTTCTCAGTTTTAAATAAAGGTATTCATGGTAAAATATTTACAGTATTATTGGACATATACTCTAAAGTTAAATCTGCTGTTTTTAATCTTTCAAATGGTTCCATATCTCATTATTTTGATACTTTAAGTGGTGTAAAACAGGGGTGTATTTTAAGTTCTCTCTTTTTGTTGTTGAGCTGGAAACTATGTTACAGGAATCGAATGTCCGAGGTATATTTGTTGGTCAAGAGTTTCGTGATATTTCATCTTTATTTTATGCTGATGATCTGTGTTTGTTTGATGATAGTGTGATTGGTCTAAAGAGGAAAATAGATGTATTGGAGCAGTTTAGTATCAAATGGAGCTTGGATGTCAATTTAGATAAGACTGAAAGTTTAGTTTTTAGAAATGGTGGCAAGTTAAGGTTTTCTGAAAATGGATGTTTGTCAATAAAATTATGAAGACATCGACCTATTATAATTATCTTGGGTTGACGTTTTCTAACAGGTTATGTTGGGTGCTCTAAAGGATCGCGAATACAGAAGGCTTTTATTTTTGCTAAGATCTGGGGAATTGCCATTAATGATAAACGTTGGTAGACGTTACGGTGTTATTCGCGATGAACGATTTTGTAATTTATGTATGAATGGATGTATAGAAGATGAATACCATTTTCTGTTAATATGTAAAGTTTATTCCATTTTAAGACAAAGTATATTCCTGAAAATTTGTGGAAACATCCTTCTATTTATAAATTACTATGTTATTAAGTTGTGATAAAATGAATATCCTAATTAACCTAGCAAAATTTGTAAAAGACGCTTTAAGGTTAAGAAGTTTTTAAAAGGTGTATCTAACCATTTTGTCACTATCATTATTATTTTGTGAGTTTTTGTATTGGGCCTATGGCCTTTATACGGAATAAAATTTTGGGTTTGAATACGTTTACGGGCACAACGCATGATATTTAAAGCAAATGGGTTGTGACAGGTTTCCGTGTGATCCATGTGAAGGATTTATGATCCATGTAAAGGTTTTATAAATCTTGTCAAAGAAATCCGTTGTATCATTCCAACAACACAAGAAACTAGGTACAACGTCCTCCTATCCCATGCTTGTCGGAAGAATGATGAGAACTGTGCTGTAACAATGTGGAGTTTGATGATTGTGTGTTATCGTCTCTGACCGTGTAGATGTATGCTCATACTGTCAACTTTTCGTTTACCTGATGACAACGTAGGAAGAAAACCAATTACTCACTCACATTAAAACCACATTGTGTACATTTACTAACAATTACAGAGAAATAATGTCATATAAATTCTGGAAGAATTACGCTCTCAGGCAACCCAGCACCTATACCTACATCCCTTATATTGGACATTGTTCTCTCACCGCTTAAAGACATCACGTGGAAGGACTTTGACGTTGCTGTTGTCGCAGATGACACGTGCTAACGACGTCCTCCGTATCTCAGTTAACTGCGCTAAAATGATAATAACAATAAGAATAAGAAGATGAATGTCAGTGTGTATTTATATTGGGCTAACTTCCACATATCATACAGTGTTGCATTATTACTCCAGTCAATGGCCAAGTCTGCCTGTGAGGCGCTAGGTACTTAACAGTCCTATGACCATCTCATCCCACCGGGTACCCATTCACTGCTGGGTGATCAGATCCAATTTTGAACAAAGTCACCTTTGTTGTTCAAGTGATTTGTGACCTGTGCTCTTTCCACAGAACCACAAACCAGCACACTACAGTTAGTGAATCAGTTGGATTAAATTAAATTCCACTTTCAGTTCAAACCTGTGCAAAAACCAGACCATTTACTGATAGTCCTCAACAGATTGCAAAAGAACAAATCTCGCAGGTTTCACAGTCAGTGGTGAGCCAGACCACTGTCGTTCTTAGCTTGGTTGGTTTCTTGTTTTACGCCGCACTCAGCAATATTCCAGCTATATTGCGGTGATCTGTAAATAATCAAGACTGGTCCAGACAATCCAGTGATCAACAGCACGAACATCGATCTACGCAATTGGGTTACGATAACACGTGTCAACCACGTCAGCGAGCCTGACCACTCGATCCCGTTAGTCGCCTCTTACGACAAGCGTAGGTTGCTGAAGACCAATTCTAACCCGGATCTTCACGGCTACGTGTTTAGGAAACGGGTCATCATCCCTTTATAGGTTGTATTCAGCCTCCAGTCAGATACAACTAGTGAGATGTCCCCTACAAGAGCTTAGCCGTACCGCCGGGCAGAACAACAATAAAAATGTCGGCCTTGAACAGTTTTCACGTTCTACTCTATGGGTCATCTTCATATTGCAGGAAAGCCCTTGATGCCGGTCTTTGAGGACGTTGCGTATTTTAGGGAAACAAACAAAACCTAATGTTATAAAACATTCAAGGAAGACTACTTTCCCCAACAGAGACGCTTTCAATATCAATTGTTGGAACATATTAGCAGAGTCCACTATCGATGTTCTGTACATTACTGGCAAACTAAACTCCTACCTGCAGTGAAGATCCGTTCTTTGTCAGCTCTCTCATACCAGAATCGATCCCCCAAGCGTAAGTTTTCAAACTGTTTAGCCAGTATAAAGCCAAATGTTGGTCCCAACAGTCCTCGCTTTACCGGCTTCTCCCTCAAACCGCCCACGAACAAATCCACATCGTTCACGCAACTACAATCAAAACATGGAAAGGAAACTTGATACGAAGTGGCAGATTTTTTACAACTGTTTAAGTGAGGAAGAACTTTGAGGTAAAACGGAATCGCTATTCACAGCTAGACACTTGTTTCAGGATGACGTTTGAACTAGAAACGTCTTTTCATTACACGCGAAAGAGGCTGTCCGTTGTCTTTTCCTGGAATCATCAAAACCAGTAAAATACCGCATTGCTTTAGCTTTAATTAATTAATAAATAAATAAATAAATAAATAAATAAATAAATTCTGCTTATGTTGCTTTGCGTCATGTCCAAAAAGTCAAAATGTTTCATGACAGGAACCTATTTTAGAAAAGAATGTTCTATGCGCGTCTACCATATGTACTCCTGGTCTGATATGATGACACATCCGTGTTTTTTACTACTCACGCATAACACGTATAACATCCTACTGCAGTACCACGTGTTGTCCAAAGCATTATTATTATAATTGTTTGACCCTAAATGTTATCTGACCGTACTCATTGGAACTGGGAAACGGCAACAGTCAAGAAACTGATAAGGAAGTATATTATACGATCATGGACTGTAACAGGTGGACTATCAATCTGATGTGAGTGAGTGAGGTTTTACGCCGCTTTTAGCAATATTCCACCAATTTGCGACGGGCCTTTACCTATTGCACCCATCTGGGGAATCGAACCGGGGTCTTCTGTGTGACAACTAGGCTACCCCGCTGCACATCAGTGTGATGTACCATACCTCGGTGAAGGTCACCCAGATCATAAACACCTGGTACCTGCATCCCCAACATTAAGCTGACAACTATACTAATACTGGCAAACAAGGATAAGTTAAGCACCGACCTGACAACTGACCCGTATTACCATGTATGAGTGCCGCCAACTGGCGCTTGCCATTGTTAGCGAAGGGGCCCCAGGTTGTCCGCGATCAAGTGTAGTGCGACTTGCTACACTGGCGTGAGTCTTACGAGCAAGGCGTGTGCTACGCACAGAATCAATTTCATCGTCATGTAATGCACGTGCACTAGCCTACATCTGCTCTACCTTTCACAAACCAAATGGGTTTGCTCATTGTCGTGCACCGCCTACTTCTCGTTAACGCGTTCTCTGCGCCGGGCCAACTTATCCTTGTTTCCCAGTAATCAACGTTTTGTTTGTGGAATTCTGTTTCTAATAAACATAGTCATATTATTGGCATACAACTGCTCAAAGTTGAGTTGCGCTCAACCCACTTTGACATGGTAAGTATGTACTTACCTATACAGATCCAAGGCACATTTTGGTACCGTGAGATCATCACTAAATAGTTTCTTCACAGCAGGGACCTTTGATATGTGGTTAACGAAGTCCAAGTATGGAGGCAATCCGTGGTCTCGTCCTCTTTGAATGTTCAACGATACAAGATCGAAACCTATACCCGACTCAACCGTGTTTTCAAACAGGTGATCGACGATGCCTGTAATATAACGTACAACATACGTACGCACGCACGCACGTACATACAGACAGACCTTGTGCTCAATCAGGGAATCGAACAAGTCAGAGTCATACTCGTTCTCGTGTGTTTAACCACAGAGGGATTCGTTTACGCCCACTTGCACAAAGCGTTCTTAGAATTACGTCTATCTTAAGCATGTGTTAGTGAATGGGAGTTACGATCAAGATCGTAAGTTACGCTAAGATCGCTTTGTAAAAAATCGGACCCTGCATCGTTGTGTGATGTTGACCCACATTATGCTAAAACACGTTGATTGATATCCTTAAGTCTGTGTTAGTGAATGGGAGTTACGATCATCGTAACGTTAAGATTGCTTTGTGAAATCGTGCTTTGCATTGTTGCGTGATGTCCATCCGCATTAAGCTAAAACACGTTGACTGATATAACCGAAATACCGTTCTAAGCGGCATGGAGACCGAGTCTATCACTCACCTTGAGTAAACGCTTTGTCGGTTGCCTGACTGCTCCAAGTCATTAGTCCATCGAGAACGTCATCGTAGCCATTGGTCACAAACGAGGTGTCAAAGAACATCTTTCGTATCTCCACTTTTCTTCTGCCCTTTACAGCGTATTCTCTAGCAAGCTGAGAGTGACCAAACCTGAACGCCGCTGCCGCAAAACTGTTGAAGATGCCGGGGTTTACAGAGGCGTTGTACTGGTACTTGCCGGACAGGTCAAAGAGTTTGTACATTTCGCCGAGAACATGTGGGAGCCAGGCTTTGTAGGTGATGTGCTGCATACTAGCAATGACGATTTGACGTGCTTCCTGAAACAGTGTCTCGTCGTTCCATTTACGGTTCACAGTGGACAGCCTCTTCGCAATTCGATTGTGTTCTCGCATCCAGACTGTGTGCATGGAAGTCAGGCCAGGGAACTCGTTCACTCGAACATCACCTGAATCGTGTAATTCCAGAATGATACGTTTCGCTTCTTTCGTAGAGATATGGTTCGCTCGTCACGCCGAAGGACCGGGTTCGATTCCCCACATCGGTACAATGTGTGAAGCCTATTTCTGGTGTCCCCCGCCGTGGTATTGCTAAATATTGCTAACAGCGGCGTAAAACTAAACTCACTCACTCACTCGTAGAAATATGTGTGAGTGAGTGAGTTGAGCTTTATGTAACTAGGCTGTTGACACTGCTTTTAGCCATATTCCAGCAATATCTCGGCGGTGGACACCAGAAATGGGCTTCACGCATTGTACCCATATAGTGATCGAATGCGGGTCTTCGGCGTAATGTATGTGGTGTGATGACCATATCTCGGTGAAGTTCACCTACATCTTAAACACCTAGTATCTGAATCCCCTTCTATAACTGACCGGAGGTTAAAACTACATTTGATCAATGATTACTCAAGAAGTAGGATATATCAAGGGCAATACATTCAAAGAAACATTACACAGTGTCAGATCACCTGTAATGACCATAACCAATCCTGTACCGATACTGGCAGGAAATGGTACCCACAATATCAGATTGTAATACAACCTGTAATGACCATAACCAATCCTGTACCGATACTGTCGGGGAATGATACCCGTAATACCAGATTGTAATATCACGTGTAATGACCATACCAGATTGTAATATCACCTGTAATGACCATAACCAATCTTGTTTCGATACTGGCGGGGAACGGTACCCGTAATACCAGATTGCAATACCACCTGTAATGACCATCCGATACTGGTGGGGAACGGTACCCGTAATACCAGATTGTAATATCACCTGTAATGACCATAACCAATCCTGTTCCGATACTGGTGGGGAACGGTACCCGTAATACCAGATTGTAATATCACCTGTAATGACCATAACCAATCCTGTTTCGATACTGGCGGGGAACGGTACCCGTAATACCAGATTGTAATATCACCTGTAATGACCATAACCAATCCTGTTCCGATACTGGCGGGGAACGGTACCCGTAATACCAGATTGTAATACAACCTGTAATGACCATAACCAATCCTGTTCCGATACTGGCGGGGAACGGTACCCGTAATACCAGATTGTAATACAACCTGTAATGACCATAACCAATCCTGTTCCGATACTGGTGGGGAACGGTACCCGTAATACCAGATTGTAATACCACCTGTAATGACCATAACCAATCCTGTTCCGATACTGGTGGGGAACGGTACCCGTAATACCAGATTGTAATACCACCTGTAATGACCATAACCAATCCTGTTCCGATACTGGCGGGGAACGGTACCCGTAATACCAGATTGTAATACCACCTGTAATGACCATAACCAATCCTGTTCCGATACTGGCGGGGAACGGTACCCGTAATACCAGATTGTAATACAACCTGTAATGACCATAACCAATCCTGTTCCGATACTGGTGGGGAACGGTACCCGTAATACCAGATTGTAATACAACCTGTAATGACCATAACCAATCCTGTTTCGATACTGGCGGGGAACGGTACCCGTAATACCAGATTGTAATACAACCTGTAATGACCATAACCAATCCTGTTCCGATACTGGTGGGGAACGGTACCCGTAATACCAGATTGTAATACAACCTGTAATGACCATAACCAATCCTGTTTCGATACTGGCGGGGAACGGTACCCGTAATACCAGATTGTAATACCACCTGTAATGGCCATAACCAATCCTGTTCCGATACTGGCGAGGAACGGTACCCGTAATACCAGATTGTAATACCACCTGTAATGACCACAGTTTACCAGCATCAAAGCAGGAATGTCCAGGACCCTTCAAACAGGTGGTTGCGTTTGTAATAGGGAGGCGCTGGCCATTCTTCGTAGACGCCAGTTGTCCTGGAGACAGAATCATTAATGTGAGTGAGTGAATTTAGTTTTAAGCCGCTTTTAGCAATATTCCAGCAATATCACGGCGGGGACATCAGGAATGGGCTTCACATATTGTACCCATGCTTGGAATCGAACCCGGTTCTTCGGTATGACGAACGAACGCTTTTACCACTAGGCTATCCTACCGCAGAATTATGGAACTATTAAATGAGTGAAATGACACGAATCACCAGTTTTGGTCATGTAGGAGCTTGTGGATATAGTGGTTTCTATCCTCTGTATTACCCTGCGACGACTGACGTTCCAGCGTTATATTTATCAAGCATATACCGTGTGCAGTATATATTTACCCGAACCGCGTTTGTAGACTTTACGATAATAATGCTTTATTGTTACGTAAATTACAGCATATATTTACGCACCTAATTTGAGGGTTCGGAGTTTGAGCGCCTCTTCTTTGGAACCCCCGTAGACGTTGCTGCCGTCGATGTAGGCGGTGAGGGAGTTCAGCTGTTCTCGGTGACAGCTCTCTGTTAGCAGACACAATTTTTAACATGTATTTTTTCAGTAAAAGAGTCACAGCAATACTGTCAATGGCAAATGAAGTTGTAAGACTATTGAATGAAATCGATACGCAATCGATCTTTGGAATATTATTAAAATATTGATAATCATATCAACAGGTCTGTAAAGTTTGTGCATTTTTTTTAACATAAATCGTCAGACAGAACAAAACATACACCACACTAAATCATGACTAAAATGAAACAAACAACAAATTGTTATTTATTTGATTGTTATGTATTTCATACGGCTGTCACAGTGGTATTGTGGTCATTAAGTATAAGGGGCGGATCCAGAAGGACTCCCCAAAAAAAAAAAAATAAATAAAAAAAAAAAATATAAATGAAAAAAAAATAAATAAATACACATTCCTGGATCCGGCCCTGAGTTTATGATGTTCCAATAAGTGTTTTCCCGTTTTGGTTACGCTTATAATTGTTTATTAAATTCCAGTTTTCAAGTGTATGCGTTCTTTCACCCTGCAATTAATATGCATTAATAACGTTGATATGTATGTGCATCTTTGTAGGGAGGAATCGATCTATGAACTATGTAGCTTGGGCAGCATACATTATGTCAATCTGAGCACCATCACTTATTTGCTAATCTTTTGTGCGTACGTGTTAATATACTTCCTTCGTCTGACATTTTCGTCGGACATCTCGACTCTTCTTTCTACCATTTCCACACATGGGTGAAGAGCAATGCAACACAAGTTACCACAGAGACCGGGTCTGTTGACATTCCAGTGATCATTATCAATCTTCGCATTTGGGGCATGATGACATGTGTCAACCAAGTCAGCAAACCTGACAACCCGATCCCGTTGCTGAAGACCAATTCTAAACCCGGATCTCCACGAGTGATCATATCAACATTCATATATAAGGTGACAGTGTTCACCTACCTGACGTGGTCTCCAGAGGCATCGACCGGCTGAACTCCATGCAGTTCTTGAACTGTCTGTCTCCTGCTGGTATAAGGATGGGGAAACAGGGGCCACTGAAATCATGAACGTTGTTGCAGAACATACAACTACGACTCGTACAAGGACTGGAATTGTGAGGCCGTCTTTACGCAGAGGACATTCCGTCGGTTATCTCTGTTCAACAACATGCCAGATCAGTATGGGAGGCAAGCACTAAATAAAGCAATGTGGAGATTTTGACTACATGATTCTGATTAAACAAGGCATTAAAGAATGAAGACCAGCAGATCCTGGCGGGACCAGGACTCGCAGCTTGGTGAGTGAGTGAGTTTAGTTTTACGCCGCACTCAGCAATATTCCAGCTATATGGCGGCGGTCTGTAAATAATCGAGTCTGGACCAGACAATCCAGTGATCAACAGCATGAGCATCGAACTGCGCATTTGGGAACCGATGACATGTGTCAACCAAGTCAGCGAAACTGACCACCCGATCCCGTTAGTCGCCTCTTACGACAAGATAGTCGCCTTTTATGGCAAGCACATGGGTTGCTGAAGACCTATTCTACCCCGGATCTTCACGGGTCCGCAGCTTGGACTGCCTTATCATTGCGAGCTATAATTGAAAATAAATGTCCATGATTTCCTTCAGCTAAAGATTTACCAATTGATACTGGTTTTATTGTGTTGTGTCTTAAATTGAAACACGTAATTGAGCTTCTTCGTCCACATAACCCAAAGAGCGCATGTTCCTGCTTTTAATAAGTATTAAAGAAATTAAGGAAAGATATAAAATGTATGATCAGCATATTATATCTGTTCTCTATTTTAGTGAACTTTTAGCCACTTCTGCTAGAGAACGTAACGCTCGACTGTGATACTTCTATGTTAAACAACAGTAGAGTTCTCAACACCTACATGACCAGTGATGATCCGGTTTAGAATCGGTCGTCAGCAACCTATGCTTGTAAGAGGCGACTAACAGGATCGGGAGGTCAGGCTCGCTGACTTGGTTGACACATGTCATCGTATCCCAACTGCGTATATTGATGCTCATGCTGTTGATCACTGGAGTGTCTGGTCCAGACTTGATTATTTGCAGACCGACGACATAAAGCTGGAATATTGCTGAGTGCGGTTTTAAACAACCAACCAACCTACCAACCAACCAATCACTACTTACTCAGAGAGAGTCGCTGTGAACACCGTTCAATGCCATTCCGCTGCAACAGCTTTTGGCTGGAAGTAGAATTACAGATTCGAATAATACGCGCTGCTACTATTATCTATTCATGTCTTTAAGCGACGATGCAAAGGCTGTCCTATGCAAATACACTAGTTATAATATTATTGCGTTGATATTAAAGCTATATTACTCCTTTCAATGTTTTTAAGGAAATAGAGACACATTCTGGAGAACTCTTTGGTGAATTCCAGAAGAGGTCCAGTATGAGTATAACAGGGTCCATTTGATCAACTTTGTAAATTTGACTGTGTGAGTGATCGGGTCCAGTGTGGCATCCATTTCTCTGTAATGGGCAGGTGGCATAATCATTAAATTCCGTGATACAGCGGTGAATTAGTATGTTTGCTTTTGAAAACATGTAAAGAAAACAACATAAGTTCTTACAGTAATCACACAAATAATCTTTATTCATAACCAGATCAGCAGTGTTTTGTGATCATGTCAAAAAGACGTCGTTAGATTGCGCCATTTGGTAAGGTCACTTATTTTATAAGAATAATGGGAAATGACGTAAATCTGCGTTACGTTTGGTGTCATCAGAACACAACATGCGAACATGACGATCTGAGAATCGAATACACACCACTTCGCCTTGATCGATGCCTTAATTCATGTAATTTCAAACATTTGTAATATTCGAATTCCTGTTAGAAGTCAGCATACAAGTTGTAGCAGTATCACGGGGTATATTTCACAGGGTGGAAGCGCTGTCAGTGCGAAATGTGGAGTTGCCCCTAAAAGCAACTCCATTTCCTCGCTGGACAGTGAAAGAAGAACATGTGGCGCAAGAGTAATGGTAAGTTTTCCCTCGCATTTTCATTATTTTTCAAGTATATCGGGTTTTGCCATTTGGCAGACGGGTCTAGAAATGTACAGATCTTTCTATAATAGCTTGACACTCTCTCTATTTATTGCAATTGCGCGTTAAGCGAGGGCACCCTCCTGAGTGTCGAAACAAGATCGCGGAAAATGATCGTTTCAACACGAAATATGACAACCTCATCAGCAGACACGCCTTTTTTTGCTGTCAATTCTTAGATATAGTTATTTCGGTCTTCATTCACAGTTTAGGCTTTAATGCGTCAGTATTTTTTCAGTTATCGTCGAAAAATCAAACTGTACATTTTCATGGAGTTGTATTGCAACTGTCCATTGCGTTGAATGTTTACGTTGAAGTAAATGTCAAATTCAATTCAAGTAACTGGATTTTAGAGCATGAACTGTCGAAATTCCACACTTGTTGATACCCTTGGAAACGGTAGTTGTTGTGATGGATGCCCTAAATGCTATGTTCACACTATCACGATTCGCGCAATGATTGAAACCGTGGTCTTAATTGTGGACTAATCGTGGTGATCCTATCAATCTTATCAGATCTTGAGGTCAGTCGTGGCAATCGTATTGATCGTAGAAATATTCTGAAGGGTTAAAACAATTTCTACGATCAACACAGTTAATCGTCAATCGTGATCATCGCATCAGATAGTATTGCATCATAACAAAGCGAACATATCACATCTAATCGTGCTTAGAAATCGTAGTGGTCGGAATCAATCGTGGACAAGACAAACACCGCGCTGTGTTGAGATGTGTAGTGATCTCCCACGATCTGTGACGGTCTGTCGGGTCCCATTGCTAACAACCTGACACGAATGACTCACGAGCAGATACGAGTTGATACGAGTAACTACGAGTAGATACGACTATTGACGCTTTTTCACGGACGCTCACGATCTGTTACGAGTTCTTGCGCCCATATATGTACTGGAAATCAGAATTACTGCGCCTTCAGGAGTTCCCTCTGATCCTTCGCATTTGCTCTGGCTGATTTGCGAGGTGCAGGAGGTTGATCCACATCTAGCCAGTCCACTTAGTCCTCCATGCCCCTTGGATGACATGTTGTTTTCATCCTCGTGGTCCGCCTATTGTGCTGCAATGTCTGGATGCCTCAGCCTCAATCGGTTGTGCAGAGCCACTGTCCCCTCCACTATGAGGAGACACCTGAATCTATTGGCCAGGATCCCAAGGGCATTTTCCACCATTCTCCTCCCTCTTGCGAGTCCTCTCCTTCCTGGACATCCTTCTTCTGCTGCATGGCTTCATTAGGCAATTCCTGAGAGCGAAGGGTGAAGAAGGGTATGTCTTGGTGGTCATCAGGGCTTGCAGTCAGAGGGTAGGGTGGGGGAAGTCCATGCCGTTGACCAGCCCCGAGTCGCCACATATCTTAGCATCTGACATGTGTCCTTTCCTAACAAGCTCGATCCACACAAACTTGTAATCTGCATCCATCAGAGCTAGGAGTGGTATCGAAACGACGCCCTTGTAACTGACTGCCAGTTTGAGGTGGCTTCTTGACAGCAATGTGTTTGCCATCCAGGGCCCCAATGGCGTGGGATATATCCATCTCTGTTCAAACTGGTTAGCTACGGCTGTCCAGGCTTCAGGGGTCACAGGTAGGCTAAACACAATTGCCTGTCAACACTTCTGGAACCATCTCTGAGATGGTGGACACTCCACACCTGAAGGCATACGCAAGAGACCCATAGTTGTCTCCAGCCTCAAGGTGCCTAGCTGTGACTGCCAGTTTCAGTCCAGGTGAAAGAGGTTGCCTGAAACTGGTGACTTCCTGATCGATTGCTCGGGCCACCCTATGCAAGACTTCATCGAAGAGCTGTGGTGTTAACCTTGTGTAGTTTTGGAACGCTACTGGATCCTCTAGCCTCAAATGGGTGTCTAGGAGGCTGGAGAACTGACCAAACTGTTATCCCCTCTCTCTATGAGCCATGACCGCTCGTCTTGTGTCATTTGGATTTCTGCTTTAACAACGGCCATTGAGTTGTCCATATCGCTGGTGCCACCGGTGGGAACACAACATTGGTTAGATGTCCCTTGGTTTTCAGATGCTTAGTGATGTGCTTTACCCGAATGTGCAATACTAATATCTGAGTGATAGTATGAACAATGTACATACTTTGGAATAACCTGGGCCCCGTTTCACAAAGCTCTCGTAGCGCCACAACTATCGTAAGTCATTGTTACAGTATAGTAAGTACACATGCTACGAGAAAAGTTACGATATTTTGATCTTATGAGAGCTTTGTGAAACGGGGCGCAGGACTTAGTTATTCCTGGGGTAGATGTATATTTGTATGTTTGTTCATACACTTCTGATCGTACATGATATTTTTTTACATTATATCCCTGTCAGGGTACAAACTGTAATGTGTACAATCGTGCTTGATGATACAAAATCGTAATATATACGGCAAAATACGCCAGGTAGGCATGTCTACAACAGAACGTTCTTCTTCACAACAAATATCTCTGGAATAGCATAGCATAGACTTACGACTGTCGTGGAGCTAAAGTTGCTTTGTACAACGGCACCCTGGGAGTAGGATAAATACGTTTTAGGTTTTTAATGTAACAGCTAGTATAGTGCTGACAAATGGTGAACAACAATCTCAGTATCAAAGCCCCACTACTCTGATCCTGGCACGCCAAAGGGACACAACTCCAAAGAGCATTAAAGCCCCACAGACGACTGGATCATCTGGGCCTGGTCAATCTTGTTCGACCCGGTGATAGCCTAGTGGTTATAGCGTTCGCTCGTCACGGCAAAGACCGGGTTCGATTCCCCACATGGGTACAATGTGTGAAGCCCATTACTGGAATCTCGTGGTATTGCTGGAATATTGCTAAAAGCAGCGTAAAGCCACACACTCTCACTCACTCGGAATGTTCTCTGTTCTCACCGTCAGTCTTCGGCGTCGCCGTGAGGTCGTGGTCCAGGAACTGACCCCACTGCATCATCATCTGACTGAACATCCTGTCCTGCGTACTCGTACTGTCGAGGTTGAAACACTCCACGCTGACCTCCCGGGCGCTAGGGAGGGGCTCTGTGTTACCTCCGAACAACCGAGGGCTACCATTATCTAATAGGAAGACAAACTGATCGTTACAAACTTACAGTAATTCACATTATTACCTGCATTCACGCACGTTTAGTATTCTTCAGGGGCGGGGCGGTAGCCTAATAGTTAAAGCGTCCGCTCGTCACGCTTAAGACCCGGGTTCGATTCCCATCATGGGTACAATGTGTGAAGCCTATTTCTGGTGATATTACTGGAATATTGCTAAAAGTGGCGTAAACCCTTACTCGCTCACTAGTATTCTTAATTTGAAATTATATAAAATTACATTAATTTATGCAGCTTACTTTTATTCATAATGCATTTTCGCGAACTGGTAATAATTTCATGAACACGTTTCTAACAAAACCTGAACCTTATTACGGACTAAGTCTTTTTCAGAAATTTCGTATGAATATGGATGAATGTTGCTATGACACACAGAAGGAGGTATCGTGTCATTAACATTGATAAGATCGAATATTCTTAACTACTAACTCAGTGTGCGAAATTTACGCTGGTCCTGTGGTAGCTGGCTAGTAAAAAATCTCCAGGACCACTAAATGATAAGTTTGCATTGGTCCTGGTGGCCAGTGAATTTTGTATTGATAGTTATAAGTAAATCTACGAGTGTTATTTTGGACCAGTGAAGTACAGACAGGACCACTGATTATTGTCCACTCAATGGTCATGTATCTAGTGGGAAATATTGAAAGGTTTCTTTCCCTGCAAAGTAGTCATTAGTCAATATTATCGGTCATGTCGAATGTGAATCTAGAAGCTGTTTCGTAAAATCATTCAGTTTTGACAAAGGGATTAAGATGTTCAATATTTCGAAAATATAGATCTATGCATACTCACCATCGTCATATTTGGGGTCAAGGATTCTCCTGAATGCTTGTAATGGCGCTCCCCAGTTTGGATTCTTAATATTGTTGCACACGCCATCTAGCGGCCGGTATTTCAGCTTCCTGTCACATTTACTGAAAACAAACAAACGAACAAAACATTCATGCAGAAGTTAACCGTATATGAAGATTAGCGGAAAGAAATAAACTTACAAATTGTCTCCAGTAAAATTAACGATTATTTACTGTAAAAAAAATCCGCCAACAAATTTTTAATATATGTTTTAAACTTCAATACACTTTAACGTTTCATTGGTTAAACCAACTCTCAGTGTTCGGCCAACAAAGTACAAACTATGTTCAGACACAAAAACACATCTGCTACCCGCCGTCAGGGCTATGGGGTAGCCTAGTGGTTAAAACGTTCGCTCGTCACGCCAAAGACCTGAGTTCGATTACCTACACGGGTACATTGTGTGACGCACAATAACAGTGTATAGTTTTGAAATATTGTTAAAAGCGGCTTAAAACCACACTCATTAACAATAGCTGTTATCTTCCATTGATGTGGAGGAATACAATGCCAAAAAGCAACAGACATGAATGAAATGGTGAGTGTATGATGCATACAGAAAAAACACAGATGGATGGTAATACATCAGCCAATCCCTACCTTGCGATTCTCTCGCTCAGTCTCGCCCTTTCTCGCGCGAGGATGACTTCAGCTTTATTGCCTTCGTTGAAGGTCTTCTCGGCCTCGGTATTGGTCTCCATGGCGTCGACAATTTCTGGTATCATCTTGTGCACAGTTCTCCAACCGCCTGTAAACATCGAAGTGACCAGGAATCAGTCAGCTGAAAAGCTGTTTCAGTAACGCCAGGGCAGGTCACCCCAAACTGGTTAAACTCAGGAGTTCGGGCATGGAACCCGAAATAACCAGTTCCGTAATCTGGAATCTGGATTTGTATGTTTGTTGTTGAACGCCGTTCTCAGCAATATTCCAGCTATATGGCGGCCGCCTGTAAAACATCGACTCTGGACCAGATAATCCAGTGATCAACAGCATGAGCATCGATCTACGCAATTTGGCTATGATGACATGAGTCAACCAAGTCTGCAAGTCTGACCATCCCATCCCGTTAGTCGCCTCTGACGACAAACATGAGTTGCTGAAGATCAATTCTAACTGGAATCTTGAAACCACAATAACATTCTGATATCCCCGGAGAAGTATCTCTGCAATAGGACTTGATCTAAAAATAGACCTTTCGAGGAATGTACAGAATGTATACTGAGAGGCATTTTATATCAAACACGGCGGATATGTGTATCCAACAAATATTCATTGGGAATCATATTCGGAGTGTTACTGCAGGGATCATGGATACAAGGAGTCTCGCCTTCTCATCTTAGTGTATGTGTCTCCCGATAACACGGGACGGTGGGGTAGCCTAGTAGTTCAAGCGTTCGCTCGTTACGCCGAAGGCCCGGGTTCGATTTGGAACAGAGGTACATTTGTGTGAAGCCAATTTCTGGTGTCCCCCGTCGAGATATTGCTGAAATATTGCTAAAAGCGCTAAATTCGCACACTCATTCCCTATGCCACCATGGTGCTTGTAAAAATTCCTTAAATCATTTTGAGTCAAAGAGTTGCATCACTTTGGGCATTGCATTGAAAGAATATTGAAAGTTGAAGTCCATAACTCCTTGAGTTTTAGGGCGTTTGGGTAGCCTAGTGGTTTTAGCGTCCGCCCGTCACGCTGAAGACCGGGGTTCGATTTCCTACATGAGTAAAATGTGTGAAGCCCAATTCTGGTTTCCCACATCGAGATATTGCTTGAAAATTGCTAAAAGAGGCGTAAAACCATAGTTACTCACTCACTTTGAGTCTTAAACCATTGTAATGAACCAGTGACGTTCACAGAGAGAGTTCCGATGCTACACGACCAAACTTGCTTGGAGAATTACATCATTTAGAATGTACTAAATCTAAAGTAACACAATATTATAAGCCACCTGTATCTAGTGGATTAAATCTGAATGGTCCACTGAATAAGTCGAAAGAGCGAGATGTTCAGATTCCAATACAATATAGAGAGACATGTAACAGTAAACATTATTACTATTTTGTCAATACAGTTGTATTGTTAAGCCCCTTTCATAAATAAAAAAAATAAAATAAAATAAATAGTGTAATTGAGAAGTAAGATAATAATTTACCTGCAGCAACAATGATGCCTGCTAAAAACAGCGTTGTCAGTAACATCTTCGTCACTGTCTCTTTCACCAAGAGCTGCCTCCCGCACTGAAGTCCTGTGCAATACGCACGTTTATATAGCGTTTGGAGCCTACGTCATGGATGTTTGTGAAACGGATGTGTGTATGCCTTATTCCCATTGGCTGAAATGCATTGATTTCCAAATAACGTCGCGTGGAAATGCTTTTTCAAATGAAGAAAAGTAATACTGTATCAGTCGTATGAGAAATGACACGTGGCACTCGACAACATTCACTGCAGTTTGTCCGTCGTCTCATGAAGTACCCCTTTAATCCAGAATTTACCCTTCCCAGTGATATTGTCCGGATTAACAAGGTTCCGTAATAATGAATTATTTGTACGAAGTTGTATAATTTAATCATGCATATCCTTTTTCTTGTGGGTTCTGATCTCAAATACGCCTTGGTCATGTTTAAAGGTTTATTTATAGCATCCATTTTCACATTGAATGTGCAAGAACTGTTCTCGATTTCCGAAAGCCACGGCTCTTGATTCTTCTAGACCATCAGCATATATTGCTGGAGTCGTTTAGAGTCGACATAGAGAGAAGTCTTTTTCTTTGTACAATCCCACTATGACCGGGATGGTACTATTGGACCTTTGGTCTTTCCTTTGACAATACCTGAGTCTTTGGGATGTCCAAAACACACTCAATTCATTGACGATGGCAGACTGTAAACGCCTCCTGTTTTGTCATTTAATTCAATATAGAATTCAAATTGATGTACAAAATTGTTGAATCTAATTTTCTCTGTACACCCCATAGGGTCGACTGCATTGAAGGCAGTTAGATACAAATTATGTTTTATCTGATATCCCAACTCTCATGGAAAGGAAGGAGTAATTTTCAGACTTGGAGGAAATTAGAGACAATTGGAAACATTTTTGGTGATGCCCGAACAGTGTTGACAGAACCCTGCCAATAATTCAGTTATGTTTGATCGACATCAAACATTCCACACAGGTTATACTCAGTGCTATAGGATATGTATTTAGTTTGACGTTAGGTCTTCACAAGAAACAACTGCCATGTATTGTTTATTACGTCAAAGTCATTTTGAAGTGACGTCATTCAAACAATTTCACAGATTTTGTTACGTATCGGGGAACCCCGATTCACTAAATGTTTCAAGCGAAACATTATTCACTCTGGGAAATTATCCGTTATTCACCATTACCCGAAACTGTTGCCACAGGGAATGCAAATTATTAGAAGGACTTTTCTCGTAAGTATATAGACTACATGTATATGTCAACGTATATTACAAAACTGGTAAATACGATTAACTTAACAATCTTATCGAAAATACTGATTGGTTTGATATTTTTAACAACTGTGAATGTGTTGATGATGCATGTAAAGTCTTTCACGATGTTTCATAGGATATGTTAGTTCATGTGTACATTCTAAAACTGTAACGATTCGTCCTGGTGATAAGCCTTGGTTCGATACTGAGTTGAGACGGGAATGCAGAAAACCTGATAGAATGAGAAAGAAAGCAAAAAGAACTGATAGTGAAAGAGATATTCGATTGTATAAGAAACAGAGAAATAAAGTTAACAATATGAAATACCATGCAAAAGAGAATTCTTATTCCAAAATTGATGATTTTATCACTGAATTACACTTTAAAAATAAACCCTCCTACTGGAAAATGCTGCGATATGTTGTAAAACATTCAGGTACAGCAACTTGCATTCCCCCTCTCAAACAATATCCTAATGATAATGACCCGTCGCTTTTCTCAGATATTGATAAAGCTGAATTTTTAATTAACTTCTTTGCCTCGATCTCCTGTGTAAATGACGAGAATATGGCTCCTCCTCAATTTGGTAGACGTACAAAATCCACTTTAGAATTTATATCAGTGACTAAACAGGAAATTACAGATATAATTAAATGTTTGCCACTGAATAAAGCTGCGGGTCCCGACAGAATAAGTCATAAGCTTTTAAAAGAAACTGCTCATTCAATAAATGCGCCATTATGTTTGCTTTTTGAATTGTCATTACGAAAAGGTGCGTATCCATCAGAATGGAAATTAGCACATGTAATGCCTGTATTCAAGAAAGGTGACAAAACTAAAGCATCAAACTACAGACCGATATCTCTTATAAGTTGTGTCGGTAAACTGTTTGAGAGAGCTGTATTCAAGCATATATCTAACTATTTCAACGAGAACAAGTTATTGTACAAATACCAAGCTGGTTTTCAAGCTGGGAGTTCACCTGTCCATCAATTAATTGAAATATATCATCAAATATGCCAAGCTCTAGATGATAAGGACCAATATTGTATGGTCTTTGTGATGTTTCGATGGCTTTTGATCGTGTTTGGCACGGAGGGCTTATACATAAATTGGAAATGTATGGTATTAAAGGTGGATTGTTAGAGTGGTTATGTAATTACATATATAATCGCTATCAAAAGGTCTTTGTTAATGGAGCCCTGTCTAAACCAAGGTTACTCCAAGCTGGCGTCCCACAAGGATCAGTGTTGGGTCCGTTTTTATTCATTGTTTATGTAAATGATATTGCTGATGACTTAGATTGCATAACGCAACTATTTGCAGATGACACATCATTAGGCAAGGCTTCTGGAAATCTTAACAGAATAGAAACCTCATTAAACATAAATCTCAGAAGGTTAAACGACTGGGCAAACAAGTGGTTGATATCATACAACCCAGATAAGACAGAATAAATACTTTTCTCACTTAAAGATGATATTTACTTGATTAACTTACTATTTGACGATAAGATTGTTAAAACGGTAGAAGATCATAAACATTTGGGGATAATACTTTCATCGAACGGCAAATGGTCCTCCCATGTATCTAATATTGTTTCCAAAACCTCTAAAATGATTTACTCAATGAGAAAACTTAAATATATTCTTACCAGAAATACACTTCTAAAGATTTACACAGTTTTTAGACCACACTTTGAGTTCGCATGCGAAGTCTGGGATGGCTGCGGAAAAGAACTAAGTTTAAAATTGGAAAGGCTCCAGATGGAAGCTGCAAGAATTATTACAGGACTTCCCAAATATTCTTCTTTTAATTCACTATATTATAAAACAGGCATGGAAGCACTATCAGAGCGTAGAAGAATAAGAAAATTGTCTTTGTTCTACAATATTCAAAACAACAAAAGTCCAATCTACCTAAAAGAAATAATTCCTCAGAACGTGGGCTCCAGGAGTCAATATAATCTAAGAAATTCAGGCAATATCTGCTTGCCAAGAACAAGAATAAAACATTCTCATGAGTCGTTCTTCCCATCAACTATAAGATTGTGGAACAATCTACCTACAAATGTAAGAAATTGTACTTCACTATCAAAGTTTAAATCGAGCATAATAACATCATATAACTCAGCTCCACTGTACTTTTATTACGGTATTAGAAAATTTAACATATTCCATACTCAACTACGTCATGAAGCTAGTAGATTAAGTTACGAGCTGTACAGAGTAGGGCTAATCACTTATCCATCCTGCGCATGTGGAAACCCATGCGAAAATGCTCATCACTATTTCTTAGAATGTTCTTTACTCAATCAACATAGAAAGATCATGCTTAAAGCTATTCAAGATATATGTAGTAATTCTGTGATTACATTATCTGTTATTTTAAACGGCATTGCAGATCTGACAAATCATAAAAATGAAATTATATTAAAAAATGTACATCAATGTATATGCAAATCTAAACGATTCCAGTAGTCTTCTCTCTAACACCTTTTGTATTATAGCATTTCCTCCTGTTATCTTTCAGTCTTTCTCTGTCTCTGTTTCTAATAATTGCTTGTGTGGTTATTAGTTATTTGTAAATATCTTCGAAGAGGGGTTTAATAAGTTGAAAGAACTTGTCCCCGATCCTTTTCACATTGTGAATAAAATATGTTTAAACTAAACGTATATTGTTACGAAAGCCTTTAGACGGCGTATTTTGTCAAAATAACATTATTCATACTCAATCTCCTAAGAACCAGACAAGGATGATTGTATAAACAAAAGCCAAACACTTAAAAATTATATATATTTGATCAAAATATTACAAACGTTGCCAAAATGTTGCTTTACTGAAAAGAGTTACCAAACACAGAAATGTAATACACATATCAAGTACATGACCGTCGAAAAACCAATTCTTGTTTGCTTCTGTTTCATCGGTTATGGGTTCAGATGTTTCCATGACAACCTGATGCGGCAGCTGTAGCACCTACAGAGTCCATTTTGTAAACGCCTATTACAAAACATTGCCCCAGCGACCTCAGTGATTTACTTAGGATCAGTATGATATCGTGTTGTCATTACAAGATGTTACAAATGAAAAATTACACAAATTTCATGATACATTTCGTCGTAGTATACTAGTATCGCTATTTATCATCGGTCCTTCAATCCATTTGCCTTTTAAGAAGCGTGGTGAGACTGAAAGATTTTGTTATAGTATACTAGCGTGTCGCTTTACCATCGATTCTTCGAACAATCTACCTTTCCGGAAGTATAGTTTCGAACACATTAACATCAGTCCATAATATCAGCTAGATTTGTCACAAATTGTTAGACCCCTTGTTTTCTGGAAATGAGATGTGTTTTTTTTATCGATTAAGTTTTAAACAAACGACTCGGTTCCCCATCAGTTCATTTATTCATTTGCCTTCATGATGTATGGCTTGAAATGTTGACACAAGCTGTTTACCTGCAACCCTAGCTGTTGATTGACCAAGGAGATCCGGGTTAAACATTTTCATGGAACCTAAACAACTGCTGTACGTTATTAGACAGGTTACGTAACTCTGTCGCCAGAGCACTGCAGTGACGTCATGTGAGGAACGATTTTCAGTTAGTTGTATAGAAAGTGTGTAGCATGCTCATCATTTTGATGATTTCTCGACATCAACGACGACATGTCGAATCGTTGCTTTGTCGTCAATTGCTCCCAGGGGTCGGGCGATGGTGTCACCATGCACAGATTTCCACAGGACCCCCGCAGTTCGTGCTAAATGGGTTATGTTTGTGAGTGCGAAGCGAGCGTTGTGGAAGCCTGAAACG